TTTAAATAAATACGAAATGTAAATACCTATCTGTGAAAATTATATTACTTCACAAAATTTCATGACCACAAAACATTTTGAGAATTTCAGGTAGAGCCCGTCCTTTCTTTATATTTCGCATGATCTATAGCCATGCTGTGTTTTACAACTTAGGGTAAACTCTCGGTGCATAGACTTTTATAAGGCGTTGAAAACAAATATTAGGGTATTTAAAAACAAGAAGCTTTTTTAGTGCTTTCTACGTATCCCAATTAAATGTATTGAGCTCTTGTCCGATTTTAAATATTTTCAAAAAACATTATACCTACATGAAATGTGTTTAGATTCATCACAAATTTGATTTTGAAAAAAAAAGTTAAGGCCGAAACCCACTAGCAACACGCCACGTCATGCTTCGCCACGCCACGCCATGTGACGAAAATGTATGCGTATATTCTTCCATTTATTTATATGTGCTGCGTACACACTTGCCATACGCGATACCACGCCATGGCACGCCACGCCATCCGTCCATTTGCACACAAACTGTCCCACGTGAACCTGTGTCACTTGGCGTGGGGTGGCGTGGCGTGTTGCTAGTGGGTTTCGGCTTTTTTCTAACACTTGCATAATTATGCAACACTTTTGTTCTCCTGGAGCCAACTTAAACTGGCGCTGAACTCTAGACCATACTGAGGAAAACCACCTATTTAAAATATTATTTCTTCAAATCATAACCTTAAAAAAAAAAAAACGTTTACTAAATAAAAATAAATGTTGCAACCATGTATGTGCCCTCAAGTTTAGGATTGAACGAGCGCGCCACAGAAAATGAAGATATCGAAACCAAACGGGAGCTAGAAAAGAGGCGATTAGGCATTAGAGAGACGGGAGAACAAGTTGGGGCTGTTCCTTTTTCCTTAGGCACGTGTTTGTAATTATTCATTATTCAATTTTCATTTCTATTTTGCATTAAAATTGATTTTTGATTCCAATTTGTTATTAGTGTGTGTGTTTAAGGAGCGTTCACAGGTTAGTGGATTAACTGTTATTTTGTTTTTGAGAGTTCAATTTATGCAAGTTCCTATCATTTTGTTCATTTTTATGTATTTTTTGCATTGTTCATGTATTTAACAAAAATCGTTTCATACTGTAAACAACACAGATAAAGAAGTAAATTAGAACCTAAGAAATTATGTGCTGTCTTTTTGTGCTGAGATTTTGATTTTGTGGATTTAGAGCGTGCATTAAAGCCTTGTTGAATTTACTAACATTTTCCTACCCTGACGAGAGAATATCCTAACAAATTGAAATAATCAATCTAGAGATATTGGCTCAAAAACAACTATAGCTGAGTAGCTTCCCGTATGGGACCTCAGTATCCGCTGGGAAACTGGCTAACTAACAAAAAAACCTCTTCAGTAATGAATATAGGTAGTGTTGATTGAATGTTGAGTGTGTAATTAAAATTTTAGCACAAAGACCAAAGACGGTTCCTAATTTAAACTTTTATTGACTTAAATTATTAAATTAATGACTCACAATTATTGTTAAAATGACACAGTATGTTTCGATTTTTGAGGAATGTTAGATCGAGGGTTTCTCTGCCGTTCTCTTTCCCCTTGAGAATTCCAAGTCGAGAACGGTACGATTTACTTTAATAATAAAGTAGACGTTTCACAAATTTTTGGTTTTTTTACATATCACAACTTCCCTTAAATTTCCCAAATATTTGCTATGTCGGGCGCATGTCCAGTAAGTAAAATTGAGTAAGTTTCCACAACGTAGGTCCTATTTGTTTCTCAATTTATTCTTCAGGAGATTTGTTGTTTAAAAGGTAATAAAAATTCTCATCGTTCAATCTTACTGACCGAACCCGGGTATGTTATAGTACAATGCAAATGTCATATCTGACATATGTACCAGAAACGCCAATCAAGTTACCCGTAGGTTGAAATAAGGTGAATTACGCTGTATGTACAGGGTGGGCCAATTTGGACACTTTTAATAGGAAATATCAATCATCAACCCCCCACTCCGAGGCTCAAGTTTTATAAAATTTTGATTGCTGCAAACCTCATTTTGATATCTTCAATCGTTTAGCTGCTAGAGGGCGATTCTCGATTTTGAGCAATAATGTGAAACCATCATAACTTTTTTGTTTATGAAAATTATCGATTTCCGTAAACACTTTCTAGTAGCACTTTTTCAAGCAAAATTTAGTGACGTTTTCAGTTTTTTTCTAGTTGGTCCCAACTCCGAGATATTAACCAAAGCCTGGTTTTTTTCGAAAGGACACCCTATATATTAATAGCTCATTAGAAACCTCTGTTTTTTCTGATTTCAATGATATAAAGTTTTTTTTTTTTTTTTTTTACGGATATGCGCACTCGCAAGGAAATGTCCTATCACGCTCGAGAAGCGGCAAGTGCGCGGAAATGTCGGTGTATGTTGGTCTTGAAACGGTTCAGGTTGTAACCTACAGGGAAAACCGTCGCAGGGAGTTTATTCCACAGCGATGCTGTTCTCCAGAGATATGAATTCTGATATAATGAGGTTCTTGGTGCCTCTAGTTTGACAGTAAATTCATGGTTACCGTCTGTTTGACGGGTTCGCCTGGTAGGTGCTACTCTCGGTGGAATCATACGTGCCAACTCTTCAGAGCATTTTCCGTGATAGTACCTGTAGAAGAGAGATAAATCGCCCACAGATCTGCGATGTTCGAGACCATCCAAGTTACGAGTAAGTGCGGGGTCATTGATCAGCTTGATAGCTCGTTTTTGCACGGTATTCAAAAGCATTAAGGTATGTTTGGGTGCTGCACTCCATATATGTGAGCAGTACTCCATAGTTGGTCGAATCTGGGCTTTGTAGAGTGTCAGCAATTGGCTTGGTGTGTACAGATGTCTTGTACGAAATAGCACCCCCAGCTTTTGGGACGCCCTTTTAGCAATATCTGCCACGTGACTGTGCCAAGACATGTTGGTCTCTGCAGTAACCCCCAAGATGTTCAACTGACTCTGTAATGTGACAGCACTTCCAGATAGCATGATGTTTGGCTCACCGGTGCTGGTCTTTTTTGAAAACAGAGCTGCTTGGGTTTTCTGCGCGTTGAACTGTACAAGGTTTTTGTTACCCCAGTCCTCTATTATCTCCAGGTCGTTATTTATCTGCGATATTTGAGTTAGTCTAAGATGATGGAATTCACGTGCGGAAAGACCTGTGGGTGGTATGAGTGAGGAGACTACATTGCCATCGTCTGCAAAGCAATAAAGTGGATTTACTGTTTTATCTATGAGGTCATTTAAGTAAATCAGGAAAAGAGTTGGCGAAAGGATTGCTCCCTGTGGCACACCAGCATTTATTTGGTAAGAGTTGGAGTTCTGGCCATCCAGTGCAACATAAATGGATCTGTCCTTTAGGTAACTTTCAAACCAAGTGCAAAGTTTCGGCGATAATCCCATTGCTTTGATCTTGTTGAGCAGATATAAAGTTCGATAGGTTTATCTCTAACAGTTTTCGAGAAAAAATAGTATATTGTGTATTTAGGTGGAAAAGTGACACATTCTCGGCCGACGGTGTAAGTTGACGGGCGAGGCGTAGCCGAGGCCGGCAAACACCGAAGGCCGAGAATGTGCTTTTCCACCGAAATATACATACTATTTTTTCTGCGATCGGTTAAATACCTGTTAAATGCTTGTCTTTTAGTTCCAATTATTCAGCAATACGAGAATCACTTTCCCGGCCTGGGCCGGAAAAGTGTTTCCCGCATTGTTATTTATTGATTCCTTAGCAACTATTGAAACATAATTGAAATACCAGAATATTGAGTTTTGCGACCTGTCAACCGGTCAAAAATGCTGACATTTCTTGTCAATCGCAGAAAAAATTATTTCGGTTTTTGTCATAAGAAACAATGTGTTGGAAAGAGACCTTTCTCAGTTTCCTTACAGATATAAAGTCCTTTTCTTACACATTGCTTCTTATGACAAAAACCGAAATAATTTTTTTTCTCGAAAACTGTTAGAGATAAACCTATCAAACCTTGTATCATTGAAATCAAAAAAAGCAAATATATAGGGTGTCCTATTGAAAAAAACCAGGCTTTGGTCAATATCTCGGAGTTGGAACCACCTAGAAAAAAACTGAGAACGTCACTGAATTCTGCTTGAAAAAGTGCTTCTAGAAAGTTTTTACGGAAATCGATAATTTTCATAAACAAAAAAGTTATGATGGTTTAACATTATTGCTCAAAATCGAGAATCGCCCTCTGGCGGCTAAACGGTTGAAGATATTAAAATGCGGTTTACACCAATCAAAATTTCATGAGTGGCCCCAGAGTGGGGGGTTCATTTTTTTGTATCTCGGTCAGAAATTGATGTTTCCTATTAAAAGTGTCCAAATTGGCCCACCCTGTACAGGGTGAAGTTGAATCAAATCCAAGCGGAAGTAATGACATTAAATGGTCATTTTCACTCCACTTGGATTAAATATCCCTTAAGTTATAGCGGTGCAAATGACCGTTAATGTTATTACTGCCGCTTGGATTTGATTCGGGACGTCATTTTTAGATCGCAATGGGGGTCCGTTCTCGAGATATTGCGTTTTTTATGTTTTCCTCCCCTCCATTTTTTTTTTAAATTCGTCCCCTCATCGATTCGATAGAGGTACTTTTTCTCTACTCCCCCTCAAAATTTCATTTCCCCCCCCCCCACTGTTTGGGCTGTACAGGAGTACAGGGGTCGAAAGTCAAAACTTTGACAGCCCCTCCCAGGGTTTCCTGGGGGTGGGGGGGAGATAAAATTTGTTTTGGATCGACAAAATTAAAAGTTCTAAGTCCCCTGAAAATTTCAACTTTCTAGCTTATCGGGAAGTACATCGGCGCGCGCGGTCAACTTGGTCGTTGGATTGACGGCAAACTATTCACAGTAGATGAGTGTTTGACTCGGTGTTTGAGCACTCATTTTGTAGGTAATTTCAAGTACTTCGAAATGGTATGTAACAGTATGCGAAGAACCCTATCGGTTTCACGGTATTCACGAAAAACCAAAAACTACCCCCCACTTTTGATCTTTGACCGGCCTTTGTGATTCACCTAATCGTCCTATGACCTTGATTTTATTATCATTAGATAGATAATTTTATTTCCCACGGACTGGACGGTACGGGCAATAGCACCGAAGATAGGGAATTAAAACGAACTCAACCCTACATAAAGGTAGTATCTTCCCCCACCCCCTCGAATACGAAAACTCAGTTTTAGACTCAGGACATGCCACCGAACACACCCTCAAAATTTCAGCCATTAAGTTTTTTTTTTTTAGTAAAATACCCCTATTTTGTACTACTATAGTAGTAGGTAATAGTTTGTTCTTATTTTAATTTTTTTTTCACATGCTTCCAAAATTATTTAAGGCAAGTACTGAACCACTCGCACTCGATAAGAATACAAACGATAGTATGGATAGCATGGAAGAAAGTAATCCTGATATTATTCCGCAAAATACCACTGATGATGAATATCAGGAAGAAGAGAGAGCTTTTGAAAGTTTGGGTAACCCGCCTTCTTCAAGACTTTATAAAAGGATACAATCTTGCAATAATCAAAGACATAATGGTTGCTGCCCTAAACTGGTAATATTTTATTAATTTTTTTTTCTACTTATAGTTTGTTGTCGATCCTTAGCTTAACCTGGCATAGGTTTTGTAATAACAGAATTCTGTTGTTTTATTTCGATCCTATCCCAAACAAAACCTAAGCCAATTATTTTCTACTACAAAATATAAATCGATTTTTTTTTTACAGAAATCCGATTTCACGGCTCATGCAGACTATTCATTGGACAAGCAGGTACCATCGTACATGACCTATGATCAACATAACTTGGCGTTAAACTCTTTTATGAAAAAACCGGAACCTACGGCATATGCAAAGCTGGATATGATTAGTTTGCCGTTGCACCATGGTGGTTTTCAGACTTTGCATCATCCACAATTACCTACCCACATGTATAACCGATCACTAAGAGATGATCAACTGTTTTTGAATGAATCAATATCTTCTGAGACTCCTTTACTCAGAACTAGCAATAATTTATTTAACCACACCCCAGTCTGAACATGTAAGCCAGATTCAATTTTCCATCGAAAGTATCAATAATATGTTAAGCAACAAAGTTCAACTCATTGCAACAACCACATCCTTAGTCACATTATGTTGTTATTTGTTGTGCTGTGTTGTATTATGTTGGTTTCGCTTTAGAGCAGTAACGATCAAAGAAAAATGTGAAATATGCGCCAACATTCAGTGAAAAAAAAATTGAAGTCGATGTGGACGCTTCGTTACAAGAAGTTGCATTTGGTTTATTTTGCATGTATGAATATTCTGATTTCGGAACCAGAGGATCTATTTTTCAAGGTAAAAGTTCCATAACAACTAGAAACTAAATAGACATACGGAGAGACTTTTTAAAACTACCATTTGTTCGAAGTTCTCCCCAAACATTAGTTTTCCCACAAATCTTTCAGCAATTCATTTCTTCCTTGTATTTTTCAATTTTTCAAAAAGGGGAAGCCAGGGTTTTAAGCTTCCTTTTTTGTTTTTTTTTTTTGGAATAAAAAAAAACAAGCCGCGGTCGCGATAATCATCTCATTTTCGTCGCAAAACATGGTTGCATTTTTCATACACACGTTTTTCCCAGGTAATAACTTCGGAACGCGTCATCCAATATAATTGAAATTTTGAAAATCTGGGTAACATTTTGTGCCGCTTCTACCATTGTCATTCAATTTCACCACTTTCGCTCTAATTTCGGTCAAGTGACGTCAACTTCCGAATCTTTAATGTAACTCGTGGTATATTATGGCATTTTTCGTTAGAAAATTAAATTATAAAATCGGCAATGCCATATTTGTTAAGGCTTTGTTAAAGAAAATGATAGAAAATTATACAGTGGAACAAACGATGATGCGTTCCGAAGTTATCATTTGGGAGAAACCTCGTGGGACAACCTGTATATTTATTTAAATGAATATTGTTTTAATTTACGAATTAATTTCCATTACGGCTTTGTCGCAAAAAATTGGGTTCGGCAAAAAAGCTATTTTTGACTTTGAATGTTTGTGTGTCTACGCGATGTTAAATCCAGTTGTATATTTGCAAAACCAATATCAACACCATCCATCAATGTTGTTCTAGTGGGGACATTTTGTTCGCCAGAGTTGTTCAACTCATTTTTGTCTGTCTAACAAAGTTAAACTATTTTGGTCTGTGTTGCTTAGGTGGAGACGAAGCTATACATTCAAGATTTTAAAGTGGTCGTCACTTCACCAAAATTGAAACGTTGTTAAATTGGTTGAAACATGTAGAAGCGACACAAAAAGTTAGCTAGCTCTAGTACCAGTACCCCAAAATGTCAATTATATTGGATGACTCTATCCGAAGTTATTCCTGAGTCAAACGTCTAGGGACACCATCATTCTGAATTAATGCAAAAAAATCTATTTTTTACGAGGCCATCCACTTCACTAAAAGTATGTTTGTGCAACCGTCCGCGAAATGAGCTTTCGCGGCCGCCACACCTGACGTACAAAATGTGTCAACTCCTTGTCAAATCCATATAGTTTATCTGTAACTTTACTTAGTTTTTATAGTTGCACAAAAAAGAGTGTGTATACCATAACCGCGAAACTTTTAGGGTGCTCGAGATTATCTAAAAAGGCATTTCGCGGCCTTGGTATAAAAATTACTATAAGGCTTCACTTGAAAACGTTCTTGGTTGGCCGCGCTTATTATGCCCTGTTTGAGTACTACAATGTAAAATTTTAATGAAATGGTCTGGTACTCCGGTTTTGCTGATTATTCCTGTGTTTTGCGTGTACTGGCAATGTCGTACTATGTGCATTTTATGTGAAACTGTGAATGGCATTTTTTTTAAATTCTTATACATAGGTATATGTTTCGTTTTATATTTTTTGATGTGATTACTCATACAGGGTGTTTGGTAGGTCGATGCATATATTTTGGGAGGTGATAGAGTAAGTCATTTAGTACCTATTTAGTCAAACTTACCTCAGTACCAAGTCTTATGGTTTTCAAGATATGGCCGGCTTAATTTTTTCTTAAACGGGCGCTTCAATACAAAATGCATTCAGAAAAACATCACAAATTATCAAAAAATTAGCCAAACATTAACAAACCTCACTTATTTCAGTCTAAAAGTGAACATTTTGTATGAAAAAAGAAGAAAAAAAAGGCTAGTCCAGTTTTTTCCCTAAATACCTACTCATTTTTGGCAATCTATAGTCTAAAATGATTTTTGTGCTGCAATCCGATAAAATAAGTAATTTTTTCGTGTTGTGTGTAATTTGAGAAGGCACATGATGTGACAAAAGTTTTTAAATTACTTTGAAAACCTTGGATGTCTTCTTTTTATCTTTTTTTTTTCCCCCGAAAAAAACCTAACTTGCAAGGGAGTTAATATGACTTTAAAATGGCATTCTTATGGTTAATTTTCTATTTATTTTATTGTTGATGCATTCAACACAAGAAATACACATTATCTTAAGATACAAAAAAAAAATATATATTATTTGTAAATATTGCATTAAAGTGCCCAACATGGGATTTGTCAGATATTATAGTTATTTATGTATCAAGGGAATTATGAGGGTGTTAATACCCCAGGGCAACGTTTGTGTTCCGAGGGCCTCTGGCCCGAGGGACACCAATTGCCCGTGGGTATTAACACCTTATAATTCCCGTGGTACATAGATAATTTTATATCCTACTGAATTTACTGTATTCTGTCTATTTTTATAAAGGAATAAACCATAAACCAAAATTTCTATTTTTTGTCAAAGTTTTACCTATTCAAGGTAAAAGCGGGAGTCATGGAAATCCTTAACTCCCTTAGGAGTTATGATATCCTTAACTCCCGCGCGGGAGTTATGAAATCCTTAACTCCCTTGGGAGTTAAGACCTTGTTTATGACTATCGTAACCAAGGTATTATATGGTTATAATAGTACAGTAGGATATAAAATTATTAATTTAAATCGGCCATATTTTAAAAACCGTAAGACTTGGTACTAAGGTAAGTTGGACTAAATAGGTTCCAAATGACTTAATCTACCACCTCTCAAAATATATGCATCGACCTACCAAACACCCTGTATGTTACTTATTGTATATATGTGGGTACAATTTTTAGGGATTAAGTCAAAAATCTTCAGGTATACCTAATCAAGAAAACTCTTTCTTGCTATTTACTAAAAAAAGAGTTTTCTTGATTACCTGAAGATTTTTGACTGAATCTCTGAAAATTGTACCCACATATTTAATTGTCGGTGAATAAGATTTCTAAGTTATTATTGTATATTTATAATTATTTGAGTTTTGTGTATGACAATTTTTTTTAGCAATTTCTACGTGTTTATTACTTATTTTTTTGGTACGATTTACTTGTGAGATATATTATTATGTGCCTCTACGTGAAGAATTATTTTTTTGTTTTTTAAACATACCTATACTGTGTGGTTATTCAAGTGTGCAACATATGGATTTTTTTTTAAGTAATAGCACAATCAAAATACAAACAAGGCCAAAAGTTAGTGCATGTCTGATAATCATATTGGGTGCACTCAGAATGGTTGCAAGTTAAACCGCATACAGGGTAGCTCAAAAAATATCAAAATTGTAGTAATATTTACTTAAATAAAATAAAACTTTTGCACTTTAAGGAGTGTTTTTTTTAATATGCATATCATCGTTAGTAATGTTTTAATTTGTTAAAAAAAAAATTGCGACATTTTAAAGTTATGTTGAATATCATTGCAACAAACATGAATTTACTAATTCCATAAAAAAATAAAAATCTAAGTTAATTTTACAAATTTGTTTGAATTTGAACAAAGTTTTGTAAAATTGATTTGATTTTAATTATTTTTGAAAGTATTAAGGGCGGAAATCACAGTTCGATTCGAGATCTTGTTTGGTATACAAGTGTATTTATCGGCTTATCGGAATTCGTTCTTTTTTATCATATTTTACCGGAGAGTCGGTGTTAAAAATTTGCGATTTAATCATATAATAGTGCTAAATAATAAATATTAAAAATGCCTCCCCCGGATGGGGAGGGCGTGGAAGGGACGTTAAATAATGCCCTAAATGACTCTGGTGGTAGTGACAATACAATGGAAATACCCGAAAATTACGGAAATAATGTTGCACCAACAAAACAACCAGATAACGATCAACCCAAAAAAATGTTTAATATATTTTCGGATAAGTACAATATTAAATTTATTTACGTTATGATAGAAAGCACTGAGTCAGAAAACTTTGGTAGAATACATCCTTTAAAAGTAGGACATATTTTACATAAAAAATTATTCTTAAAAAATATTATTGAAATCAAAAGTATGGGTAAAAACAGGGTTAGAGTACAGCTTCACTCATTAAAGGATGCTAATGACTTATTAAATAATAGTGCCTTAAAAGCAGAAAAATTGCGAGCCTTTATTCCCAATCATATACTCGAATCCAAAGGTATTATAAGGGGTGTCGATACATTTTTTAGTGAAGAATATATTTCAACTAATATTAAATCATCTTCTCGCTTAATTAGTGTCAAACGTATGGAAAAAAATGTAACCGATAAAGATGGGCAGTCAATAAAAGTCAAAAAACAAATGGTTCTTTTAACCTTTGAAGGTAATTTACTACCAAATGATGTAAAAATAAATAGCGTGTCATTTCCAGTTGAAAGATTTTACGGTAGGGCTGCTCAGTGCTTCAAGTGTCTTAAATTTGGTCATGTATCAAAACAATGTCGCGCTAAAGACTCATTGTGTATATCCTGTGGTCAAATGGTGATCGAAAATACAGTTCATAACTGTGATACAGCAGATGTTTTCTGCATACACTGCCAAGTACGAAACTCTCACAAATCTGTCTCTCCAAAATGCCCCTATTTTAAAAAACAACAAAAGATCAGAACAATCATGGTGGATAACAACATTACTTTTACCGAAGCTGAGAAGCTTTGTGAAAACTCTTTTGCAACTGTTACTACTAGTAACAGATTTAATAATTTGGAAAATCTAAGTGACTATCACACTAATTTCCCCCCTTTAAGCAATAAATTTACAAAAAGCAGTTTAAGTCAACCTAATCCCTCACAGAGGCGTTCACTACCAGCAAATATCCTGTCACATTCACAACCATCTACATCTTCCTGTACAAATATAAACAAAAAACGAAAAATTAATATTTTAAATTCTCCAGAACCTATGTTTCCCTTTACTTTTGGTCCCTCTACCCCCTTAGCACCGAATACACTTAGTAATCAAGATATTTTAGAAAAGGAAAAAAATAATCTTATAAATAGTAGATCAGGTTATGTAATAAGTTTACTTGGAAAAATTAAAACAATAGAAGATATTAAAAATATTAAATTAGATAGCCTTAAACAAGAAATGGTTGAACTTATTGTAACTTCCACTTATAACTCGTAATCCGAATGGCTAATTCAACTCAAATCAAAATAATGCAGTGGAACGCTCGTTCCCTAATATCAAATAAACAAAGTTTTGAAATTTATTTAAATAAATACAATATTGATGTTGCTTTAATTTGTGAAACCTGGCTCAAGCCAGGCCACAATGTAAGTTTTAAGGAGTACCATATTATAAGGAAGGATAGAGCAGATGGTAAAGCGGGTGTAGCTATATTAATTAAAAAAAACCTAGCGTACCGTATCATAACTTTAGACCAGAATTTTAATACAGGCATTAATATCTGCGGTGCCACAATTTTAGTTGGTGACAAAAAAGTAACCCTTTTATCAGTGTACAAACCACCTAATGTGAATACCTCCTTTAGTTATTGGAGCAACATTAGCTCTCAAATTTTACCTCCATTTATAGTCGGAGGTGATTTCAATGCACATAGTACCTTGTGGGGTTCACACAAAAATAACTCTACTGGAATACAAATTTCAAAATTAATTGATGATTTTGACTACATACTTTTGAACACTGGTGATAGTACAAGGGTGCAACGGCCGGGATGCAACAAATCGGTTTTAGACTTGAGTTTTTGCTCACCAGATTTAGCTTCCAAAGCACTGTGGAGCATTGAATCAGATACATTGGGATCTGACCATTTCCCGATAAATATACTACTTGAATATAACAACGCAAATTTTTCTGAGATAATTCATCCAAAAACAAAGTGGAATGTTAATAAAGCTAACTGGAATGGTTACTATACTTATATAGATCAATTGATGTTAAATACCCCTAACTTTGTCGATAATATTGAAAAATATGATTTTCTCACTGAATGTATTAACACTGCTGCTGACCTATTTATACCTAAACTTAAACCATTTTTAATTAAAAATAAATTACCAGCTCCATGGTGGGACACACAAGATTGTGACCCTATGTTGCTTAGACGAAAGGAAGCCCTGAAATTGTATAAACAAAACCCAAGTATGGAAAATTATTTAAACTGCCAAAAAGTGCAAGCTGAAACTAAAAAGTTTTTTAAGTCTAAAGCTAGAGCCAGCTGGTGTAATTGGTGTTCCAATTTAAATAAAAATACTCCCTCCACCAAAATATGGTCGCAAGCACGTAAAATGAACACAGTAACTGCATACAAAAAACCAGAAAAAGATGACTGGTTAAATGAATTCTATGACAACATAACACCTCCCTCTGTCCTACCCAAACCCCCTAACATTACTTTCTCTATAGATCACAATCATTTCCTATGCAGACCTTTCTTAATTTCTGAATTAAACAATGCCATTAAATCAACTAATAACACTGCCCCTGGGTATGATGATATTAAATATTGCATGCTGCAAAATTTACCTTTAAAGGCCCAGGAAATGTTGTTGGACCTTTTTAATGAAATATTCATTCATGGTATCACAATAAAAGAATTCAAAAAAGTTTTAGTTGTGCCTATCCAAAAACCTAATAAGGATCCAAATGATGCAAAATCATATAGACCAATTTCATTGTTATCTTGCGTTTTAAAAACACTTGAAAGACTTATAAAATCTAGATTGGAATTTTGGCTTTTTAATCAAAACTTACTTCCGTCTAATCAGTTTGGTTTTAGAAAGGGTTATGGCACAATAGATGCTGTCACGTATATTGTTAAGGCTGTATCAGACGTGCCGTTGCCGATTCCGTTATCCATTGCCGTTGCCGTCACGGTTGCAATCACACTTGACACCGTTCCGTTCCCGATTACTGGTCGCTTGAAATGTTTATAACGTCAAAATGTCACAGCTAAAATATTCAAAGTACAATGCCGAACGTCGTTGGGAAGTTTCTTCTGCGTTGCTGTGCTATATGATTATATTGGAAGAAGAGGAAAGAGAAAGATCCAAACCAAAATCGGTTTTGGTGCAACACCAGAAACGATAATTGCAAAACTAAAAATGTGACGTTTAGACACATGTCACATCAAGCGCTTTCATTGGCTACGGTTCAGAACGGCCTCGTAAAATTTAGACTCCAACCTAAACCTACAACGGCAATCGCAACCAGAAGCAGTTACATTTTGATTGGTCGAATTTCTAATCGTAATCGTTAATAGTAATCGGCAACGGCACGTCTGATACGGCCTTTACAGACATACAAAACTCGTATTCAAAAAATGAATATTTCGCATCGCTGTTCCTTGATATAACAAGTGCCTATGATTCGGTGAATCTCGATATTTTAGAACAAAAACTAATACAATATTTTCGTATACCAAACAATATTGCATTTTCCATCGTAAATATATATCGAGATCGACGTGTTTAGTTAAGAAATAATTCTAATGATAGGTTAGGTCCGAAACATGCCTTGTGGTTTACCACAGGGGTCAGTCTTGAGCCCCCTTCTTTTTAATTTATATACAGCTGACCTGCATAAAATAACAAATTTAAGTATCGTGCAATATGCTGATGACCTTTGCTTCTATACACAACATCTAAAATATAAGCAGTCAATACATTTATTAGAGGAAGGACTTTATAAAGTACTTAATTGGCTCAATGATAATGGTTTCGATCTCTCAGTAAATAAATCTAATTTCTGCCTTTTTACAAGACATAATACTCCTATAACACCCACCATAAATCTATGCAATCTGGATATCC